TTCCCAGTGCCAGACTTCCCCCACATTAGCAGGGATGGATTCTCCAAAGCAGGCTGTTGTAAATCGCTGCTTTTACTGAATTTCTGGGCATTTACTGAGTGAGACTCCATTCCAGTGCATGAATGAATGTACACTCAAATACTAGCAGCAGATAAACACGTTTATTTGCTGCCTCGTGATCACTGACTGCAGGATTTCTGCACAGAGCCCACTCCAGTGCTTGGTGTTTGCTGGGACAAGCTAAACTTTCCCTTTCCTCATGGAAGAGCTGGATTTTGATGTTGTTTGTGCTCCACCATGGCACCAGCGAGGAGAAAAATTCTGAATTCTCTCCATTGGTGCCAGTCAATAAAATGTTGTTGATGATTCCTTTAAACAGTAAATATAAACAATAAACAGTGAAGAACCTGAACTTCCACTGGAGAGCCCAGCCAGGGCTTCCCAGGTGTGGGACCAAACCCGCTGGGAAGAGGGAATGAGAGCCCTCAGAGGATCCTGCTCACATCCTTCATTATCTAATAGGAATTTACTGGCATTTTATGGCAGCCTGCAGCTGTGACAGCCCCGTGCCTCGTCTGGGGACATTAATTGTGTTAAATTAGGTGTCAGTGGAGAGCTCCGACAGCACTTTTGTACCTGAGCATTAAAGGGACTGATGGAATGAATGGCAGCTCCTGTTGTGATTTCCCACTTGTGCCAGGGGGGTTTTGCTTCTCCATCCCCCCTGCAGTGTGTTCTGCTGCCTGGGGCGCAGGATTTGGGAGCCACATCCACCAGAGGGAGGAGTGTGAGGTTCTGGGGGATGGATTTCCCTCAGGGACACCTGGGGCTGTCCTGGTGCCACCACAGCCGTGGCCACTCTGAGGCTGGAGCTTCAGCTCGGGGATATTTGCCCAAATATTTGCAAATCCCACTGAAATCCAGGAGGAAGGTCCATGGGGCCCAGGCAGGTTGGTTGAGAAGGACCCACAGGAGCTCCATTCCCAAGAACCAAGGAGATTCTGCCTCAGCAGAAGGTGTTTGGCATAAACTGCAGTGGCTGTTCCAGGCCTTAACACCATGGAGTTTGAGCTTGGAAAAATGTTTTCCCTTCCCTGTGTCCTCAGAGAAACCCACTGAGCTAAACTGAAATTCCCATTTTGTCTTCTTGGATACTCTCATCCCACTTTCTGCATGTCCCTGCCCATGGCACTGGACCATCTTCAAGGCCCTTTCCAACCCTTTAAGAATATGTGACTCTAATCTTGTTTCTTTGTATGAATTCTGGCTGCTCACCTTAAATGCACGCAACAGAAGTATTTGCAAAATGGAGTGACTCTGCCATCTACAATCCCTTTATTTTAGTTTTTCACTTGTGCTCTTATTTAGAAAACTCACTGAGATGGGGCTTATTTCAGTGGAACCATTTGCTAACTCTTGTTTCTGCCTCTTGGTGAGCCATTTCCTCCTAAATCTCTGTTACCTTGCCTGGCTGGGGTGGGTGCTGGAGCCAGAGAAGAATTAGTTTGGAAAAGACCCTTTGATCACCAAGGCCAAGGGTCCTGCAGCCCTTCCAGCTCTCCATGCTCTGGGGCTGTGCTGGGCCACAAAGAGCTCACCCAGCTCCCAGTTTCCCTTTGAGTTTATTCCCTTTTTTCCAGCCCCACCATAAGAGCAGTGAGATCCTGAGATGGATTTTGGGAGCAGACTTTGCTGTGCAGGATTCTCACCGAGGCCAGGGATGGCTGAGGTCACTGCCCAAGGACACTCTGCCTCTCACACAACCCATGAGTTTATTTTTATACAACTCCTCTTCAAAGAAGAACCAAATTTGAAGAGTTCCAGGTGAGTCCCAGCTCTCAGTTCTGGTGGGAATGGGAAGGATTGTCACATTCCTGCAGAAGGAAATCCCTGTCAGGCTGGCACAGCCCCAGCCCGGCTGCTCCCTCCACGTGCTCCAGGATTGCTGCTCTGGGACTCTGCATTCAGGGTGCACACAGGTGTGGGATCTCAGGATCTGAGTCCTGAGATGCCGAGCCACCGAGAGCACCCTTGGGGGGCTCGGGAGTCCTGGAATGTTCCAGAAGTGTCTGGTGGCTGGACTTTGACCCTACACAGGAGACGACACCTGTATGAGGACAGGAGGGTTTCACCGGGGTGAATGGTGAAGGGATTGGTTAATTAGAGGGTGAGACACAGGGTTTAGGATTTCTGTACAGGGGGGTTTAGAGAAGTAAGATGGAGGAATTGGGGTGTGTCCTGTCCTTCTTCTTCTTCTTCTTCTCCTCCATCTTCTGTGGTGGTGGTGGCACTTTGGGATTGGTCATTACTGAAAGTGCACCGGGCAATAAGAATAAATGGTATTGGGGAAAAATGATAAATATTGTACACGTAACTATGGGTATAAAGATAGGTGACTGCCCGGAGGGCAGCACAGTGTGCTCATGGCTGGCTGCTGAGCAGAGCTCTGTTGGGCCGAGAGAAAATCTTTTAGATAAACAATTAAAAAACATAAAAACCAAAAGAAGAACTGAAGCCTCTTCTCGTCCTTTGATACGCGGCTGCCCCAAGGCCACCCCGGGCCTTTCCAGGCCCTTCAAACAGCCGAGAAAACCCGACACACAGGGGGAGAGCAGGAGCAGCTCACCGCTGGGCCTTCACTGCCAGATTTTGGATTTCTTCTTGAAAAAACAACGCAAGGCTTTCCTTAGAAACAAGTGAGCACTTATACTCCAAAGAGAGCCATTAAAGGAGAATTTGCAACATGGGAAATTTCAGCTGGCTTCATCAGAAGCAGAGTCTGGAAGATGTCTCCAGCCTGTTGCCATTTGGCTTCATCAATTCCTTTTCTGCTTTTTCTTTTATTTCACTTTCAGTGCCGCTGATGTGCTCGTGCACATCCTGCCAGGATGAACCTTTCCTTTTCCAGAGGCCGTTGTGCACCTTTGCCCTGGCAGAGCACCTGGATTAACTGTTTGGAAAGGCACAAACGCTACACTGGGAGGACTTTGGACCGTGCCAGGGTGTAAATCCCCAACCCATGGAAACCCTGCCCCATTTCCAGCTCTCCTGGCCTTCTGCAGAGCCCAGAAATGTGCTTTAGGTTTGAAATTCATTCAGGCCATGCTTTAGGTTTGAAATTCATCTGAGCTGCCCTCTCTGCTGCCTCTTCAGCTTCCCAGCACAATCATTTGTGGAAAGTTCATTTTCTTACCTGCGCAACACTTGGCAGGTTTGGAAGTAAAAATACACTAACAGTTTATTGACTTTTTTTCCCCCACTCCTTTTTCTTTTATTGCTAATTTGTCAATACTCTCTCTGAGCTTTGTTCTCAGTTTCCCTGGCTCAGAACTGTTGTTTGGTGGCCATGCTGAAGGCTCAACAACCA